TAATATGTCTCTGACTAGATCTTCATGTCTGAGAAGGTATCCTACTAACCTATCTCGCTTATAAGCTTTTCTATCTATGGGATCCTCGTCATTCGCCAGTAACACCACATTTCGAACGCTTCTAACCTTTTCCTTTTCTCCGCGGCCATAGTCCATGTTTCGCACCCGTACAGCGTCGCCCTCCAAACACGCACCTTTAACAATCTTTTTCGAATTTCTAAATTAACCGTTCGCGAGCATAGAAATGACTTCTTTTTATTGAAGGCAACTCGATCCTGCGCTATGCTCTGCTTTATATATCCCTGCTACTCCTTCCGTCTTGACTTATCTGACGGCCATTTTTTGTCTCCTGTCTTTATATTCGCTCTTTCCCTACTATTTTTTCCGTTGCATACCAATATTATTATTTTACTTTTATGTATTTTCATAGAATAATATTTTGTCAATACCGCCTCCATTTTATTTAAAGCTATCTCTAACTTCTCCTTGTTAGATGCTAATACTGCTATAACAGCTGCAAATCTAAGCTTACTAATCTTTTGCCCCTGAATATCTATCCCTACAGTTGTACTGTCTTTAATGATGTTGATCGCTTCTTCGATGTATAGATCAAAAAGTAGCGGTGAAAAAATATTTAAACTGGTAAATAGTAATAGTGACTTATTGGCGTAACTTAGAAATTTATTAATAGCGATGGGAAATTCAAGTGTATTTACCTAACATTGCGAACCTTGCAAAACAACTTTTCGTTTTAAATTTGGATTTCCCTAGAACACAACGCGGTTAATATCTTATTCAAAAGTCGTTCGTCAGTGGCTTTAAGGCATCCTCCTTACAAGGAGGACATACCAAATTAATTCATCACTGCATCGTTTTTCTTCGAAATATAACAAAAACGGGTCAACAAGTAAAAGAGGACAGGATCTTGGATTAACTTTTTCAATATAAATATTTAAACTGGTATATTTTAATACGTACATACATGCATTATTGATTGATTTACTACTTCCTAATGCAAGCCACAAATCATTACATAGGTAGATGTCAATATAGTAATTTAAATTACAAATGACAGACACTAGTGCTTATAAATATTGTCACATAGTTGATAATTTGTAGAGAAGGGACGTACCTATACCCGATTCGGATCCGATATCCGGCACTTTTTGTAAGATACTAGATGGAAAATGAAAAAAATAAAATAAAATAGAACAGTTATAATAAAAAATATAACGAAATCATTCATTTGTAATCATTAGGAATGCAGAAATGGCAATGTTGAATCAATTTCATATCGAAGCTTAAGTTCTAATGAGATTGAATGAGCAAAAACCCGGTACATATTAGCTTCACTGTAAAAAAACAACTTGAATGACTTGAAAATCCATTTTATTTCCTCTAATATATGTATATATTGCATCCACTTGGTGTAATTGTTTATTTCGTGAACTATTTATTTTTTTCCAGTTCATGAAATATTTATTCAATTAGTCACACGAAACTAAATCATCCAATTCATGTACCGTAAATTTTGCATTTATCCATTTAGTGTAGCACAATTAGTTGTCGGTGTTTTGGTAAATGAGCTATAAATAAGACAGTATACTGAATCTCTAATTGGGGGTGACTGCTGGGTTTGCGGTTTGAACCCAGTGGACCCGGCACTTTTTTTAGGATTCAACCGAGTACAGGATAATTACGCTAGTTATTTGGCAGTGCTAGTAATTCTATGAAAATTGGTCTTATTGGAATAGGTCGTTTGTACAAATTTCTATTATTTATTAATTACTATAGTGAAATAAGTATTTGTTATTTCAAGAGTTGTGATTTATTTGAAATACTTGAATTTAAAAATGCAGATACAAAAATAAAAAATTTCTGTTTTTATCTTGCATTTAAATCCTTTTTTTCACAAAAACTTTTTTGTATCTTATTTAAAATACTATTCTAAAAGTATTTTCTATTTGTAAAATGCAAAATACATTTTTACCGTTAAAAGTGTTGCTAGTATCACCGATCAAACATTACTTATATAAAATGATGATGAATGAAAGTTACTTTTGAAGTATTAGAATGTTAAAAAGGCGATAAACAGATATTCCATGAATGCCTCCTAATTCTTTAACTGACTAGAGTCCAAAAAATTCTAAACTTGAAAATGGTTTTCCGGCATCTATTTTCTTAATATCATCAAATTTTACACAGATTTTTTAACATAAATGCAGTTACTGCTGTGGAATCTGTTACTTTAAGGAAAGTAACTGTTCACGTGGTCATCAAATTAATCAATTATTTAGACTTTAAATCAGTTCATTTTGTCCACAACTGTAGAAAGGTCGGCTTAAGAATTAAACGGCCACGCCCGGATTTATCACTGGATTAAGAAGATTTATTTGACAGCTGCGAAGTAGTTAAGTTTATAACTAGATCAAAGACAGCCAGCATCTGTTAATTATTATTATGTCTGTATATGTTTATGAACAGCAATAAAAAGGTAGGTAAACAAGAACGTGTTTACTAATTTACATCATATGTTATGATAATAAGCATGCTACCGGGATAAAACGTTCGTGAAAGCTACAACTTATAATTTTTTTTATTGTATCGATGTTAATTGATACAAAATGCCAACCACATGAAATATGCAGTCTAAATTTTGTGACTAGAAGTTTTGTAAATCGAAATCTAAGCCAATTTTTTTTGGTAAAGGTCTAGATTATCGCCCGAAGAGGATGGGTGTGGTGCGAAAGAGGAGGTCTCCCCCCACCACTGTACCATAAAAAGTTCGTGACGGTCTCACCCCCATAAGAAGTTGTGGGGGTTCAAAGTTAATAAATATGCCAATTTTTATACATTTCTAGGCATGTAAATATTTATATAGTTATTCTTAAACAATAATCAAAGGTACAACTAATGGAAAAATACATAAAAATATTGAGAAAGTTATATAAAACATTATTTAAATATTTTTATAGGGTAGGTTAGGTTAGGTTAGGTTATCGAGTTTTGTTCTAGTGACCACCCTCTTTCGATCCCCCACCTCCACCCGCTTGAAAATATTTTTTTATTCAATTTTATTTGTTTTTTTATAGTGTATGAAAATTGTCAAAATAATCAACTTTCAACCCCCTTAACTTTGTATGGGGGTGAGACCGCCGCAAATTTTTTATGGGGTTTTACTCAGATGACTACTCCCTTCCGATCCCCCTATACCCCCGAAGGGGGTGGGGGGCCACCATAACTTAACATAACGCCACGAACTTTTTATGGTACAGTGGTGGAGGAGACCTCCTCTTTCGATTCCACCCATCCATCATCTAGACCTTTATGTTTTTTTTTGTTCCCATATTGGTAAACATTTATTCCAAACTGTTCAGCTTGAATATCTCCATTTCTCTACCTCGGGATTCGAGTGTGAGTTTTACATTTTACATTATACATTATTTCTTTAATTCGAATTTCTATTAGTTTTCTTCGGAAGAATCAGCAGTAGGTCGTAGAGATTTTTAAAAAATTGGACCTTTTTAGGTAAACTAGACGGACTTAGTGTTTTTGAGTCCTTAGAAACAAACCGATGTACTTCATCCGAAGGACCTAGTTGACTGTTTACGAACTACTGGCAGAACTAATCCGTTCATTTTTTAGGTATCACAGCTCAGTAATAACACGTGCTTTGAGATCACAAGGGTTTTTAGCGGTGGGCTTAATAGCAGGATTATACACATATGTACCTCCTAAAAGCCATAATTTTGAAATAAAATTAAAAAGTATGACGGTAAAGCAGAAAGTTTCCTTTTTATCTAACTCAAACATAACCGGTTGCATTTAGTATTTTGTTTGTATTAAGTAACCGCCATTATTATGACAGTAATTATTAATGTGTATTGGGCTTCAGGGTTCACTTTATTGGGTAGTGGATACATTTATAGTTGCAACGGTTTTTGTACAGATTTGATATTAGGTTACCATCACTATTACCAATATCTATACAATGGGTTTTTGTTACTTGTTATGAATACTATTAAATTTATTTAGTTCGATCGCTGAAAACAAATTACGTATTTTATTATCACGGCAAATAGTTTGTCTAGATATTACGGGTTAAAAAGATCGTAACTATCCCGTGAAGCACGATAGTAATCAAGCAGACGGAAGGGATAAGTACCCTTATCTGGGCAAATTTAAATAATCGTTCGAGAATTATTCGTAGAAATTTTACTTCTGGAAATTACTTTTTTAATTTCATTTTTAAAAAATATTTTTTTTTTTAATATTTACTAGAAGAATCGAACACGAAACGTTAAGGACTCATTAGCGTATATCTTTTAAGCAACGTATTGTAGTATTATGGTGGTATCAAAAAGATTGTCAGGGGTGTTGTAGAACTCCCCAAAACACCTAAAAACCCCAACGCTAAACACTAAACCGACGGACTTATTTTCTTCAGAGCCCTAAGTCTTTTAACGTAGGTACTCTAAGAATGTGCAAGTTTCCATACTCCTGCTGAAAAGTTTACATAGGACAAAGTAGAGGAACGGTAACACAACGAAGTAAACAACACCGAAACAAAGTTAAATTTCATTTCATCCTCTATCGAAACTATGAAACTCATTATGGACATCGGCATATACCCACTTGGTAAAAGAACGCCTGAAGTTAAGTTAGCGAGTAGATACAAAAAAATTGTAATTAAAATTACCAATAAATCTGTCTGTAAACAATCCCTTCTTATAAGTCGCTCGGTACTGTCTCTCTTTGAAGTTTTTATACCTCTACAACATTACGTTGTAACCAACGCGATTGTTAAATTTGGCATCGCTGTACGAACTCATGCGACCCACCAAAAATTAAATTAGAAGGCCGGCGGCATGCCACCGCCTTCAAATCGACTCAATTAAGTTACCTATTACGTTCTATAATCTATTCAATTAATGCGATGCTATAGTACGTTTGGGTGTATTATAGCGCAGGAATGTACTTTCATACTAAACGTACTCAAACAAAAAACGTATACAGATACTAGTCAACGTTTATCTCTGTGAGACGTCGCCGTCCGTCGTCGTCGGGTCGGTAATTTTTAATAATCGATTAAAACCTTCGTCTGTAACGTTATTACGGAGCGAATTTTTGTGTGAATCACACTATACTTTCGACATTATAAAGGCGGAAAGATTCTCTCAAAAAAACACCGGTCGTCGGCGCGCTCATTTGCAACTTAAGCCTCGGGCCGCTCGCGTTCGCTTAAGTCAGAACGTCTTCCCAGTGCGTGCTTGCGTGTCATTGATGCATAAGTGGCGGCAAGCGTGTTTTTTTTTAAATGACATTTTTTAAATCGAAAAAATAAAATCGCCATAGGTACTGTCAGGTGTCACGAAAATGACTTGTTTGGTTAGAAAAGTTTGCTTTTACGCAATTTCTGTGCTGTTGTTTTCCGCGAATTGTGCAAAATGTGCCGGCAATTCGACATCATCCAGTAATGAACAACAAGAGGTTCGTATTTTGACAAATTTTTATAACATTAGGCCCGTATAAATATATTATTTTTTCAGTATAGTCTTAACGCGATTTTCATAAAATTTAACATTTTCTATTTAAAATATGGTAATGTAATAATTAGTTAAGTTTTTAATAACTTCATTCCTCCTGTCCTATAGATTTAGTAGGAATACTAAATGAATTCTTCCTAGAAATTTCTGCTTGTTAGCGCTGATAAGACGATATGACGATTTTTAATTTAATCAGTAATAATTGAATTGGATCCGATTATTTCAAATTTGTGCTGTTTGTTTTACATACGTCACTACCTCACTAAATGTTGGATGGAAAATGGGAGTAATAATTTAAAAATTCTAGGATATTACAGTAGATTATCGAGTACTTAAAATTTCATGGATTTTTTGATTCATGTGCAATCAAAGCAAAAAGTATTTTCCCGATAAGAGAATGGGTTTCCTTGAATTTATCGTTATCCAACATATAGTTATTTAATTTATCAGGTAGTATTAGTTGTGCCAGCGACTTCGCTTGTTTGACTCAAATTGTATCAAAAAACCAAATTCTCCCGGTGCAATGCTGATAACGTCATCGACCACGGGCGGCCCGCAATAGCACTAACAATTAGGGTTGCCACCTTTTCAGGCTTTACATAAAGTATTTCTCGATTAAAAGGTTAAAAAAAAGTACTCAGCATAAAAATAAAGTATTTTATTTTTTTTTTCTAAAAACATATTTTTTGTTACACCTAGCAGCCAGTAACAAATTGCTGTTGCTCTTAAATACATTAATAGCCTCTAAACGTGGCAAACAAAGATTTAAGTAAACTAAAAGTTCATTTTTAATTAGTTTTAATGAAGCTTTATTCCTGTCGTCCCGCCACTTTGCGTTCATAACAGAGAATACTCTTTCTGTAAATGCTGAAGTGGCCGGAACGGACAGCAAAAGTGACACTACTTTGAACAGATTTGGGAAATCAGGTTGTTCCGTAAATATGGCTTGCCATTTTTCTGTGCAATATTATTGATGTAAAAATACTCTGAATTTCGAATAATCGCTTACAAAATTACGATGTTTACTTAAGGCCTTAAATAAAGTATTTTTGCGTACTTTATGTGTCTTGTAAAGTAAAACGTACGCACAGTCGAAATAGAGTACAATACTTTATAATAAAGTACGGGTGGCAACCCTACTAACAATGCATTGCCGAGCTTCACAATTTTTCTACGGGAAGCATTCAAGTATTCCTTTACCGCTAAAGGAGCGAACCGTTCGTATTATATGTGACCACTTTTTCATCGACTTACTTTGCAACATAGGTCTCCACGAAGGGACCTTTTATTTTAAAGAACTAACATACAGCCTATGTCCATCCTGAAGGTCCATTCTAATTATTGGTTAAATAATTTTTGAAATCGGATGAGTACTTTCGGAGATTTTCCCTACATCCTAACCAACAATCTTACTAACTTTACCTGTTTATATCTAGTAGATATTACTGTAGGTTTTAGATTTAGTACCAACAACATGAACTACTGGCATTCTATCTAAAATGCAACACATACAATTTATAGCCATTTATATTTCGAGCATGCTTAAAATTGTTCTTCTAAAAATCACGTAGTACCTATTCGTGTTCATTTTAAAAATTATTTTTGCAATTGTTTCCTCGAACTTGTACGAATAAATATTTGGTTAAGATTGTCAGTTACAGCCGTTTGTCTAATTTGTTTTTTTGATTCTAAAAATAAAATTAATGTTACACAATAAACAGTTTGTGGCATACTTTCCAACTTTGTTTCAATATATGTATTTATGTATAATAATAGATGTACGTATAATACTACTGTACTTTTTAATGAATGAAACAGTTGTGGCGTACCTATATGCATAATTGTTTTGAAAATTGTTTATCAACACATTCAAATGAACTGGATTTTCGAAATTTAATTGCAGAAATAACAAATAAATAGCTAACGTTTAGATGATTCAAAAAGAAATTTTTAGTAAAACTTCCTGTAGAAGCGTTCATATCGTTGTATTATTATACTTAAAATATGTAAAAGTAAAACAAAAATTCTGATATGCAAGAGAAGAAAAAGGAGCGAAAGAGCAAATATAAAGATAGGAGACGAAAAATTACTGAGAAGTCAGATAAGTCAGAACGGAAGGAGTAGTAGGGATATAAAGCAAAGGATAGCATAAAGTCGAATCGCCATCAATAAAAAGAAGTCACTTCTATGCTTGCGAATATTTAATTTAGAAATTTGAAAAAGATTGCTAAAGGTGCATATTTGGAGCGCGGCGCTTTAAAGAAAAGAAAAGGTTACAAACGTTCGAAATGATGAGAATACCGTGGATAGAGGTTAGAAATGAGGACGTATTAGGAGAAATAGGAGAACCGAGGACTCTATGGAAATCAATTAAAAATAGGCGAGATAGATCGGTAGGACACCTTCTCAGGCATGAAGGACTAGTCAGAAACATATTAGAAGCAGAAACAGGAGTTAACAGGAGTAGAGGTAGACCTAGATTAGATTACTGTTCACGAATATTTAAGGATGTGGAATGTTCTAGTTTTAAGGAAAGAGTTGATGTGCGTGACCAACCAATGTTAGGATTGACGGCCTTAGGATGATGATGACGATTGAAAGTTTATATTGTTAGAATTTAAACTTCGTCGAAATATTGATACCTACTTAATTAGTAAAGCATACAATAAAATCCCTTGCAACAACTGTAATATAATAATATAAATTTTACTTGTTTACCACTTCTTTATTGTAAGTAACATTATGAAATTTTTAGATATTACATATTCTAAAAACATTACATTCAAAATTTTTCCAAGCATTCACCTAACGAACCAAAAATCAATTTCCTGTTTTAAAAAAATTACACAATATACATTCATGGACGATCAGCTTCGTTAGTGTGTTTACATAAAAGGTGTCTCCCTGATAATAAAAGCCAATCGTACTGATAACACTTCAAGTAATATCTCTCTATAAACACCTGATAACTTCAAGCCAAAATATTTTGCAAGAGCATGAATTCCCATTTATGAAAATATTAAAAACAATTATATACATATTCTTATTAACTGAATTGAATGAATGTTTAAACTAATCGTAAAAACTTAAACATGTAAATATACATATATTCCATGTATTCGTTGTTATAGGCAAAGCCTTCGTGAACATGACGAAACATTTGCAATCATTTGTATATAGAGAACATGTTTTATTTGTAATGCACAATAAACTTCTACATTTTAGGAATGAATGCATTAATAACTTAATTTTTTGAATTAACTTTACCCACTACAGATAACCTCAAATTAATAAGGAACAGTTGTTGCTGCTGATTTTACGCACCAGTACTCCATGGGCCCAGGTTCGATTCCCGGCGAGGGAGTGACAGTAGCAACAATTTTTTCTCATTGATTTGAAGGTATCCTGTAGTTGGTAAAGTTAATTCAAACAAATTAATTCACTACAGTAACTAATAATTATGCATCTATCCAAACAATTATTGTGTAGTACTCTTCCCAATAAGTTTACACATCATTTGTTATTTTTCTGTATGATACCACGGTTAATAATACTTTGTAAACTAGTTGGATAGTGTACAAACTGTCGAAACGTTTAAGCGCCAAAGACAACATTCACAAAATGATATACTTGGCAACGCAAGTGAGTTGTCTTTTCCTACCGTAATCTTATCTAAGCATTTCCACAGTTTATAAACTATTCAGTATCCAGCTAGTCTAAAAACTAATCAAATAAGCAAATTAATCATAACCTATACATTGAAAAGACAAAATTTTGTATAGCAACCGGAAATTGGGATTTACTTTTCATCCTAAGTGAGTCAGGTATTTCCAGCTTATCATTAGGGTGATTCAAGATCAATGCACCTACATGTTTTCAATACTAAGTTTCAAGTATTTACCTATCTGTTTATTGTAAGCCACGCGAGCAAACGACTTAATTCTTGGAATTTTTATTATTAACTTTAATGAATGAACCTTATATCACTTTGCATTACTTTATAACTGAAAATATGTTTACAGAAATGAGTGAAAACCGCTGTTTTATTATTCCATAAAAGTTGCAAAAAAGGCGTTGAAAACGAAATTAAGGCTCTCCGTAGGAAAATTAACGAAACGAGCAGGGGGAATCATACAATACAGTAGAATCTCTATAACTCGAACATCAAGGGAGACGCCAAAAAATTCGAGTTATAGAGTTTTCAACTTATGGCGGATTTTGATTCGACTTGTAGAGGTTAAGATTTGGTGTACCTAGATTGTCGGCAAATCCTTAAAGTGGATAACTTACTTTTCTTCGAACTATAGACGTAATAAGTTTCAAATTATCGAGTTGTAAAGGTTGTAAAATATGTAAATCATTGCTATGTTCGAGATACAGAGGTCCAATTTAATTTTTGAGTTATAAAGGGAAAATATGTACCAAAATGGCCTGCAGGGACTCACTGATTATTTGAACTAATAGAGGGTTGAGATTACGAGTAATGGAGGTTTTGGGGCTTGAAGGGAAGAGAACAAAACATTTTTTCGAGTTTTGGGGGTTTTCGACTTATCGAGGTTCGACTTAAAGAGGTTCTACTTTACTATAAATTAAAATCATTTGGCCTTTTTAAAGAACTTAATTTTAAATCTCCTCGTAAATCTCATCGCGAGTGTCAGAGAAAGGACATGAGCGCTATGGGATCTTTTTTTTTTTCTTTTATGCATAAAGAAAAATTTAACTATTGTAGGGACTGAACCATAAAAATAGATCAATTATTGTTTTGCATAAATAAAACGATTAGAATTTTTTCCTAGTATGAGCTAATGAACTTTGCGATATCGATGGCAAATTTACGTGACAATTACTTAAACAATCTTTACATTTTGATGACGATAGAAACGATTCACTAATAGATAGGTAGTTGAAATTCCTGAGTAACAAACATTCCTACAAAATCCGATT